CGCCGCTCCACTCGCACCAGTATCCCCACGCCGCCCACGCCAACGCCATGCCCCCCGCCATGGGCGCCTCTGTCAACGACGCCCTCAAGAGAGATAAAGATGCCATCTACGGGTAGGTGCTGCTCAAGGCTCAGCGCAACCTGTGCGGGGTGGACCGGGAGGATGATGCGGAGGAGAGCGTCCCTGCGCGGAATGGTGAAGGGCGGGCTGGGGAGCGCTGCGCGGAAAAAAAAGGCCGTGTTCTTAATTTTTTATTATTAATTTTCAAGGGTCGGGGAGGGGAGAGAATTGGTGTCCCTCTGGTACGGGCATCCACGGGGGCTCCGGAAAATCGGAGCCGGAGCTTGATGGAGGGGCGGCAGGCGTCATCGCGGGGAAGAGAAGGAAAATAATATTCTCAAGGCACAACCTGCGCCGGGTGGTAAATCTCTGCACGGAGTTTGGGAACAGTTGGAGCGCTTTTCCTAACTTTCCGCCTTGTTCGTCTCTTCTTGCGCTATGAAGGAGAAAACTTAAAAGCTGCTTCTCTCTACTCTTTTTTCTTTTCTTCTTTTAATTTTTAAAAAACTTTTATCCGACAGCATTGAATGCTGTTTAGTGCGACAACTTGCGAAGCAGATTCTAGGCCGTTGCAATGAGAGCTGATGGGTTACGTTGGGCGGCAGATGCTTTTAAAATGAATCTGTCCGTCTTGAGTTTGAAGGGAAGTTTAAGAGCCTTTTAAAATCGCTCTCCAAACAGTGAGGAAAAAGGGGAGGATAAGAAAAAAAAAATCACGTATTTCGGTTTCTTTAGCGGTTTGTCAGAAATCTGTAGGGTTCGTTAAAACTCAGCAGTGTATGATACACAAAAAAGAAAAAAGTATGAAGCCCTGGGAAAAAAAAATGAACTCCCTGTTATAAATATAAATATATACGTGTGTGTGTGTGTGTGCGCCCACGCTTATTTATTTAAATTATTAAGCGGCCGAGAGAGCCAGATGCACGCGCAGCCTTTCTCCCAGGGAGGCTTTTAAAGCTGGGAGAGCCCATAAGCACCTGGTTCCCCCTGCGGGTCGGGGCTGCGGAGCTCCGGGGGGTGTGGGGGACCAGGCCTGGGGACGGCAGCGGGTAGGCTGCTCGGCTGGCCAGCCCCTGCCTGCGGGTCGGCTTCTTTGGCACTGGGTGCTGGGAAGAGGATGGGTTTAGGGGCTTTTTCTTTTAAAATTTTTAATTTGTATAGAAGTTGTTTCCTTTTTTTCCTTTCTGTTTTTTTTTTTGTTTGCTTGTTTGTTTTTTTCTCTCCGCTCCCAGCAAGTCATCCAGCTGAAAATGGGTATAAAAAGCATGAAAGGCAGAAGTATACGTCCAGGGATTTTTTAATTTTTTTTCCTAAAGACAAGGAAAGTTAATTCAAAATGGCTGCTGGAACCGGCTTGGGTTTTATTCTTAGCTTGTCCTAAGGTTATATGAACAATATCTGTGGCTGGAGAATGAGGAAAGGCCAGGGAGAAGCGGGACTGCCGGCTGAGGGCGGCGGTGGGGGGTGCCGGAGCCCCCTTCGGTGGGTAACCCCATCCCCACGCACGCTGCTGCAGGACTAACTATTGTTGTGTTTGGGTTTTTTTTTGTTTTGTTATTATTTTTTTTCCCACCCTCTGTGTGTGTGACTATTGTATTTTCTTTCAGACACCCCCTGTTCCCTCTTTTAGCACTGATTTTTGAGAAATGTGAATTAGCTACATGCACGCCCAGGGAGCCCGGGGTAGCGGGAGGCGATGTTTGCTCCTCTGAGTCTTTCAATGAAGATATAGCAGTGTTCGCCAAACAGGTCAGCAAAACCGGGTTGAAACAGTAAAAGAAAACAAAATAGAGGAAAAAAATCGTAACGAGAAAAACAAGTCTCTTTTGAGATCAAGATGCGCATTTCCCCCTCACCCCTTTCTTACTACAAGAAGCCAAAAACCCCCAACCAGAAAAAAAAGTCAGAAACCCCAACCAATACAAAAATAAATCGGGAAATCTTGGCATTTACCATCCCCTTGAAGAAATGAATAAATGGGAGCAGTATGTGCCCAGGCGGGAGTTTCGCTGTGCGGCTCCCGAATGCTGGGTCGGGCTCTGCCTGGAAAGCTCCGGAGGTATTTTTCGGTGTATTTGATTCACTTGTTCAAGTGTTTGGCTGATGTACTAAATCCAGCAGTCAGGGCTTTGCACGAAAGGTTACATAATGGACCCAACAGTGTAATGAAGCAAGAAATAATAATGTCTGCTTTTTCCGCTTCTATATTTCAAATCTTTTTTATTATTATTTTCTTCCCTTTTCCTTCCCTTTCTTATATTTAGATCCGAGCAGAGAAACCCCTCTTTTCCTCTAATCCTGAACTGGATAACTTGGTAAGAGTTAACAACACTTCTTTCTCTCCCCACCCCCACCCTGTCACCCTCCATTCCCTTCCCTTCCCATCCCATCCCCCATTTTTTTTTAAAAAAACTTCTGTGTCTTTTAGAGAGGTGGTTTGGTGGTGCTAAATTGAAAATTTATCACGTGGATCTCTTTTTTTTTTTTAAATCTTATTATGATAATGATTTTTATAATTACAAGTAAATACAGCACGGTAATTGTGTGGAAGTAAAAGAAATCCCATAAGGATATGTACACATAGAGAAAGCCCGATGCGAAGGGGAGCTTGCGGGCTCAGGGGGCAGCTCGCCTGCCCAAGGAGAGTGTGGATTTCTCCACGCTGCAGCCAGCCACTCCGTGCACCTTCTGAGCACTTCAGTGGGAAACGCAGAGGGTTGCTGTGGCTGGAGATGCACCCTTCATTAACTCCCTGTAAAGGACGTCTTTTCTCTCTCTTTTATTTTCTTTTTTTTTTTTATTTTTTTAAAAATAATGAAATATTTTTGCCTCTGCTGTAGGAGTCCCATTTTCACAAAACAAGGAGCCAGCAATGGTGTTTAGAGTTTCTTTCTTCTTTTTTTTTTTAAGAAATGTTTATGATCCATATAATTTAGTTGCTTCATTGCAAGAGGGATTTATTTTTTTTTGGTTAACTCTAGATTGCTTCTTGTTAAACAGCGCACAAAGCCACTGCTATTAAGTTTTAGTGTTATTGCCATAAATCAAAACAACTTTTTATTTACTACTAGAGAAAAGTCAAGCTACAAAGTGTGGTAGGGGTGGCTGTGGGAAATCTCCCGAGATCCAGGAATAAGATAAATACTCGTGTTGTTTGTATCTTTGCAGATGATTCAAGCCATACAAGTTTTAAGGTTTCATCTTTTGGAATTAGAGAAGGTAATTTTTGTCTCCCTCTCTCTCTCTCTTTCTCTCTTTCTTCCTCCTCTGCTTCAGCACTGCTGAAGTTCAGGCTTCTGGTAAATTTGCATAAATGTCTGTCTTTCTGGTAATTAGTGTCAAGACCAATCTTGGCATCCATTTCTCTTCGCAGTTTAATTACAATTTCAGCCTCTAAAACCGGGCTCTCAAACGCCCAGGCCTTGCGTTCATTGTAATACTTTGCTGGCTTTGTATAAATAGTTGCAGTTCTGTGGTGCTGCAGATGAGACTCAAAATGATTGATTCAGCCAAGCCTCTGAAATTGTGATTTTGATTAAAAAAAAAAAAAATTCTTGGTGGTGGTGGGGAAGAGACTTTGATTGTAGTTAGTTGGGATAGGGAATGTATTTATTTAGTTAGTTAAGAGCCAGGGCAGGTCAGGCTTAGGGCATGGATTGTCCTGTAACATTTTGCAGAGACAAAGCAGAGTTGATAGTTGTGTCTGTCTCTTGTTCCTGGGAATATTGTGCACCTACGAGTAGAAGAAAGAGATTGCAACCTAAATGCTGGGGTTTTTTGCTGGCTATTTTAGAAATCTTAGGAGGGAGAATGCTAATTTCTAAGAAGGTGGTATCATCTGAGCTCACATTAAATTGGAAGTGCGCTGTGGTTTCCTGAGGATTTTTTATGTGTCATTGATAGCTGGCCTAGAAGAGAATTCCCTTTCTCCTGAAAATAAACATTTTTGAGAGGTTTTTAAATAGTTGAAAAGTTTCTCAGGAGCCTCAGCCACTTTATCTAACCATAACTGGCAGGCTGGTCTCGCTCTACCTGAAATGTGTTAAAATACGCCCATTAATAGAGGCGACTCAGGTACAAGTCTATTGGAGCAACTGGGGATTTCAGGGCACTTCTGCCTATAATGTATTTCAGGCCAGTGCGTTGGGATTTTTTTTTTTTTAAATCCTTTCTTTTCTGTCCTCACACCCATTTGGAAAGGGTTTATGATGAAATAACTCTATGAAATTAAATAGTTTACCTTAAATGTCACCCATGCAGGTCACCTCTCTAATGGCCACAGCTCCAGGAGCAGATGAATTTAACACGGGTGTTGAATATGTTGTAGCCTGTGAATCATCTTGTCACTGTCAATTTTCTGGGATATCTCTATTTTGCGAGAAAAGAAAGTTATTCCTAATCCTGGATGCATCTAGAGGTCTCGGGGGGATAATTGCAGTGTGTTTCCCCTATTTAGGACTTTTGATGTCACAGGGGTGAAGCGGGGAGACTGGTTGCACTTGTCAATTTTACTTACATATTCCTGATTATATTTTCATCCTTTCCTTCCTCCCCCCTTTTTTTTTCTCCCCCTCCCTCTTTTTTCTAACTTCCTTCATAATGTAGGTACACGAATTATGTGACAATTTCTGCCACCGGTATATTAGCTGTTTGAAAGGAAAAATGCCTATCGATTTGGTCATAGACGATAGAGAGGGCGGATCAAAATCGGACAGTGAAGACATAACAAGATCAGCAAATCTAACAGACCAGGTATGATCTCGCCAATGCTGCACACGCTGAAATTTGTATGCAGATCGCTCACTGGGTCACTACAACTCCTTTTATTATTTGCATATGATTAAGCCCTTTTTAGATAAATTTCCATCGAAATGAAAATTTTTGAATAATGTGGCTATTATTGCTTCATTAAGGCTTGCTCCCAGATTCGACCTGGTGAGATGAGCTTGTAAAAGCATTGCCTGCAAACTCGACCTGTTTCTTGTCGCTTTTAATTTTTGTCTTTATTTTATTTACCCTTTACAATAATAGAAGCGGGATGCGTGAATTACTGTCTTCTTGGTGGCTTAGAAAAGGAAGGGCTGGAGCGTTTACCAAAATAAGTAAAATAAAATCCGAGATAGGTGGTCTGGGGAAAACAGAGACGGTTTGAAATCTAGCAAATACTGGCTATTTTCTCCCCGTCTCTACGGTTCATTAGTCCGTCTTGTCAGTTTTCCTTGGCCGAACGCTTTTAGACTTCAGTGAACATTGCTTTGTGCAAGCCTGCCTGCTGCAAACGCACCCATTTTATTTTACTTAATAGAAAGAATGAAAAAAAAATAAGAAAACAAAACGGGACCCAGGTTTTAAATTAGTTTCCTTGGTCTCTCAAGTTTTCAACTCCTCTCTTTAAAAAATAAAAATATCGAAACCCCAAACCTTGCGTGGCTTTGCCAGTGTCTAGGTTTTGTCTGGGATGGATCAAACCTTTAATGGTGTCTGTAGCCGCGGAGGTAAACAGGGATGACTTTGGGGGGAAGCTGGCTTTGTCCCCTCCCCTCTGCTTCTCCTAGCTCCCCTTTGCTGGACTTAGGCTGGGTTCTTGCCTTTTAATGGGAGCGTTCGGGGCTAAGTCAGGAGGTGCCCAGAGCTAAATTAAGCTTCTACGATGATGGCAGTGGCAGAGATTTGGTCTTTAATTCCACACACACACACACACACACACCCCGAGTTGGGTACAAATGCAGGATTTTTCTGGTCGGTTTTCTTTCGCTCAACTGAGGGGTAGCAGCGCTTTTTCTGCAAGAGAGGGAGCCCTGAATACCCGCAAAAAAAAAAGAAAAAAATATCGCTGACTAAAAACCCCAAGTTATTTCTTCTTTATGATCAGCTTTGTAAATGCAGTCTTAGGAGTAATCAGTTCCCTACTCTGGAGGTTTACTTTTGTTCAAGCAAGACGCATTCAAGCAGACAGGACTTTCCTCAGCTGCCTTGCCGTTATCACCAGCCTTATCAGCCAGGAGTTATAGATTCCCGGCATCAAGGTGCGTTGCATTGCAGCGCGGGCAGCACCTTAAAGATTTTCTTCTATCTGCCAAAGGCTATGGGGCTGCTGGTCGTGCTGTGACAGGAGGAGCCAGGCTGGAAGGAAGGCATGAACTTTTTACAGGGGGTTTATGTGCGCATATGTGAGGGTTTTGTAGTTTGTTTGTTCTCTCAATTTTGCTGCCAAGGGGAAAAGCTTCGCGGGGCGGGTGCAGGGCGGCGCGGCAGGGAGGTGCCAGGCGGGCCGGGAACAGGGAAGATGCTCTGGGGGGGCCGGGAAAGATGCTCCGGGAGAGCGGCGGCCCCGCACAACGACGTGCCCCGGGAGACCGGCGGCCACGCACAACGCCGTGAAGGGAGGAGAGCCCTACAGCGAGGGTCCAGCTGAGGGAAGCTCGGCTCGCTGCTGTTGAATAAAAATTGTAATCCAACAAGTCTAACTAGAAAATGGGTTTCTAAAAGCTCCGGAGTGCTGGGTACATAAAGCTATTTGAGCAAATTACAAGAATCGCTCAGGGGCACGAATGAAATCAACACTTTAATTGCCTCCAAAATGAAGATTTATACCCCATTTTCCCAACGAATCATTATTTTATTAAAGTGAAAGCTAAAGAAATGAAGCTATAGTTTTGGGGTTGTTGGCGGGAGGGGGTCGGGTGCCCCCCCCCTCGCTCCCCATTTTTGGCCAGGAGCGCGGACGTTGCGCTCCCGGTGCTGGTTCTTATCCCTCTGCGCGGGGTTGGCCGCGCACCGCCGCGGGGCTTGCGCGACGCTGTGCCAGACGCGGGGCCGGGCGGCCTCCCTTGAGTGTCCCGCTCCTCGCCGGGCTCTGCATCCGCGGAGCTGCGCGGGGAGCGGCGCTTTACTTTCCCCGCCGAAAGGAAAAGGCGCAAAAAATGCGCTTTTCTCCCTTGCTCACCTTTACGGCCGACGAGGCGGTGGATAAAACACACGGGAGGCGGGCTGGCGGCGCAATGGGGACCGCGAAGGTTGCGCGGAGTGGGGTGGGGGTTTGCCGGGAAGATGCGCGGTCGCCCGCTACCTTGGTAGACTAAGGTGCCAAGTCTGGCAGAATCAGGGCCCTAATGGTCAAATAAGGTGTTGAGTGCTTGTCACTGGGGCGGCTAATTAGGATGTCCCTCCGCGGTGCCCTTTTATAGCAGCGCGTCCCTCGGAAGCACGGGTGCGCAGGGCCGGACGGCAGGAGCAGGATGGGGGAAATCTGCCCCTCAGCCTGCCCACGGCTCTGCTTTTGAGAGTAGTAAGAGAGTGAGTATGTAAAAGCTTTTATTATGTATTTAATTGCATTTTCTTATATTGTGGTAGTAAAGGTTACAGTTAACAGGTTCTTTTTCTTTTATTTTCTTTTTTTAAAATTTATTGGTTTCCCTTTATTTATTCTTTCTTTATAGGCCCCTCAATGACAGTGCCTTTCAGTACCCCAGTTAATGGAAAGCAATGACACTAATGCTAGATTTTGCAAAGTAAAGCCCCATAACGCTAACCATTGTTCGATGATTTAACTAGCTCGGTGGCAATAGGTCACTAAAATAGCATCCTTCTCCCACACGCATGACCCTGCTGCCTGCCAGGGTGGGACCTGCAGAGCTGTTGTTTACCGTTACAGCTCCAGAAAGTATAAGGCAGGAGGTTTGTTGGTTTTTTTTCGGGGGATAATTGAACTCGAGATCAACCAGGCCCCTGGAGTTGAAAAACCCTAGCTAAAGGATTGCACCCATCCTCAGAGTTTCAAAATAAACCTTTTTTTAATCCTTAGCTTTTCAAACATTCGCATGCTTAAATTTTCAAATGTTTGTCAGAGTGCAGAAAGATTTAAAACACAACTGTTGTGTGATGTGACTGGGAAAACTCCTTCTAATAAAAAAGAAATCCAGAGACTCTAGTCACATAGCAGAAATTAATTTTCTTAGGTAATCCTAAACCATTACTGTGGGGCTGTTTTCTTAGAGCCACATCGCCTTGGCACCCACGTGCTCTGGTTGTGAACTGTAGAATTCCCCTACCAGAGCATGCCTGCAGAAAGCCTTCAGAAACTCCTTTAAGGAAAACATGGTATAAAGGAGCCACCACGTTCAAATAAAGTGCATTAGCAGCATCATATAGATTTTATAGGAACAAAACAGTATTTTCTTATGGAAAATAAACTTGTTGAGCAAATCCATTGGTAGTATTACTTGTCAAAAATTATCATTTAATAATGCACAGGATTGCCGGCAAATCGGCAATGAGCCAAATTCCTATAGGGACTAGGAGGGAAATGATCAAAAAATGAACATGAAATAAGACTTCCTGTAAGAAGGTCCATAATTCAAGATTATTTGACTCCACTGTCAGGAAAATTGTTGAAGGATAGTAAACTGGTACTAGAGTCTCAGTCATTTTTGTTACACTCTTAAATGTTTGCAACTGTGGCGTTTTAGATGGCCCTTCTTGGGTGATAGTATATCATATATATA